TAAATTTAGGGTTTTTTTGTGTTTTTTAACCTACTAGGGTGTACTACAGTCTATTTTATAGCAAAAAGAGCACTAGACAAACAAAGCTTTATAACAAAAAGCCAGGCACTGATACATGGTAAATCTCTGCTTTTCTCTTATTTTTTTTTTGTTGGTTTTTTTTTGTGTGTGTTTGTTTTTTTTTGTGGTTTTTAATCATTGTTTTATCATTATCTTCACTTCATTGCATCACAAGTAACAAGAATGAAAAAAGGCCACAGTTCATATAGTTTTTTTGTCACCATTACAGAAGGTCTAGAATACTTGAAATGAGGATGGGCAAACCAGCACTGCACAAATGGGAATCAACTTCAAGTCCCATGAGAAAGAACATGTCTCAGGTTTTTGTCTATTTTTTTTTTTTTTGCCTTTTTTTTGTCTTTTCTTTTTTTCTGTTTTCCTTAAAAAAAAAATTTAAATTAAATTAAAACAGAAAAAACAAAACAAAAAGGATCCAAACGAGCAAAACAAAAACGACAAGAAAAGGGAGCCCCCCCCGGGCCCCAGTGCCCCGCTGTGTTGCAATTCATCATATTCCACCTTGGTGGGTTTTTTTTTTTTTAATATTTTTCCAGTCAACCCATGGACTCATATATATTTTTTTTTCAAATTTTAAAATCTGTATTTCTTAAAAACTTATGGTCTATTTGTGCTTGTTTCTGCTGCCATCTCTTCGTTCCTGGCAATATTGTTCGCTTCTGGACACGGATCGTGTTCTCTGACCCCCTCCTCTCCCTGACCACCCACCTTCATCACCTTCCCCTCCCACCCCCTGAAAAACAATAATATCATAAAAGAACCCCCCAAAAATAACCTCGGAAGACTGAATCAGTACAAGTTGCATCACTGGTAGGACTGACAGTTGTGGAAACATGAGTGTCCCTCGCAGCTACACAGAAGACAAATGGTCAAAACGTTCTAGGTGAACAGGTTCCCTACTCAGCACTTCCATAAATTACTTGAATGTGGAGGTGGATCGGATCAGGAAAAGCTGCTCATTCCATATTTATCCCTTTCCTCAAGTGTTTCTGAGCCTGGTTTGCTCACCACAGCTTCCTCAAGCCCTGCTGGCTCCCCCCTAGGTCTCCACAGCTGCAGCCCCGGGGGAAGGCAGCTGGAGCTGGGCACACCTTACCTGGGCTGGGAAGGAAGGGAACAAACTACGGGTGCCCCATTCCCAGGTCCTTAAATCTTGCCTTGTCTGGAGTGGAAGCTGGCCAGGATCCTCAGGAGGGATGAGGGTACATCCTGTGTGAGCTAGGGACCCCTGGCATCCATCCATCCATCCACGCATCCATCCCCATGCGCCGCCGGGCTGCTCCTCGGCTTCTGCCGAGCGCCAGCGGAACAAGAACAGCTTGCTTGCTTGCTTTTTCAGTTCCAGCAACTCAACTCGCCATTTATTTGTCGTCCACAGACTGTTTAAAATGAACACGGAGTTGGTCTTGTTTTTTGGGATTTTTTTTAACATGGTTTATCAGCAGCACAGTCCTCAGCATCTCGGCCGTCAACTCCTCGCCGCTCCCTACCCCCAGCCAGCGGTGGACAGACCCCAACCCAGTGGGATCCACCAGGGCTGAGCTTTCCCAGGGGCAAAAAAAATAACAACATATGGCTTGTTCCTCAGCATCACAACCTCCACACCATCCAGAGGGGACAACCCGGGGGGCACGGAGAGGCAGAGCCCCCCAGGGGACCACGGGGCCGGCACCGGGTGGGCTCCACAACCCCCTCCGAGACTAAACCAGGCTCCAAGTGCAGCTCCAAGTCCCTCCTGCCAGAAGCCTTTAGGAAGTGGGAATGAGGCCTTGGGGTGGTCTCCTCTGGTGTCTGCTCTAGAGCTTGAATCCACCTCCACATTGGAGAAACTTACAGACAAACCAAAAAAGCCACAGAGAGTTTTACCGCTACCGAACATATTTACAGTTCCCAGCACGCGCACGGCTAATCCAAGTGGGAATGGGGATGCCAGGGGTGAGGAAACCACCACATCTTGCTCTTTTCACGTTTTTCAGAGACAAACAGAAAATTCAGATCCTTGCATCTCACTATTTCATTTCAAGGAGACTGGTTGGTTGTTTGTTTTTTTTTTTCCTTTGTTTTGTTTGTTTTCAACCACACAGATTTTTATAAACAAAAGAACTGATACAATGTATTAAAACACATAATAACAAGAGTCTACATGTAAAAATATAACTTTTACATACACAGTTTCAAAATAAGGATACGTTTGCCATTTGTTGCATAAAATTTACAAATGTGGGTTTTTTTCATGACTATATAACTGGCAAAACAGGAGAACAGATGGAACATTTAGACCGTTTGATGGATTTATGGCATTTATTCAGTGTTGATAGGTGGAGAATCTACTGGAACAGGGAGATTTTTTTTTTTTTTATTATTATTATTATTCTTATTTCAAATACATGCCAGGTTGGTGTGGCTGTAAAAATAGGAACTGGAATTAAGAGACAAAAGGATGCTGACAAATACCTAACTAGGAGCACTACCTGTTAAATCGTACTGTACACCAAAGTCAATCGTGATCAAGGTTCACTAGGGAAGTTGGTTCAGTTGTGCCCAGACTTCAAAGCTAGTTAATCTGATGAGCTGCTGTGCCATCGTTTGAGCTACGTCACTAGTCAAACACCTTCAGTAAAAACTTCATTCGTACTGGCCAGAGAAATACTGTCCTACCCACCCTTTCCTGGAGAAAAGTGCAACTTAATGCTTTAGGACTCATAAGGCTTGTTAGGAGGACGCTGCGGGGTGGCCCAGATTGGCATTTCACAAAGAAAGGAGGAGGCAGCAGGTGGGTCTGCACGGGAAGAACCCACCTCCGAACCGGAGAAGAACGACAGAAAGAAGAATCCGACCAGGAATTCAGCAGGGCCTCACTGCACACTAGCTGGGCTCCACACGCCGGGGAACGCTCCGACCGCTTGCGCGTCGTCACAGCCACTTGGATTTATGTCATGTCGCCGATGATACAAACATTGGAAGGCACAGTGGTAACATTGTAGCATTCTAACCTTGTACCTCTAAAAATCCCAGAAAGAAAGACAAAGAAAAAGAAGAAAGAAGAAGAAGAAAAAGGAAAAGGGGGGGGGGGGGGTGTCACTCCCGCGCCCCCCGGGGCCGGCGCCGCCCCCCACGTCCTGGGCTTCCCCAAAAGAACACAAGACTTGAAGGAACAACTCTCGACTTGAGGGATGGATGAGAAGTAAGGTCAGGGTCAGCACTTCAGCCTGCACTACCCCTCCGAGAGACAGAGTTGGCACTACAGGTCGCAGCAACAACGACGACGACGACAACGGGGAAAAAAAACCAACACACCGAAAAAAAACCCCACCAAAACCAAAACCCGAAACAAAAAGAAAAAAAAAAAACCAACCCCAAAACAAAGAGGGCAGAGGGACAGAAATAAGACCAAAAAATTCCTTATTTACAGTAAAATCTTCTTTTTTTTTCTTTTTTTTTTAAAAAAGTTAATCAGTACTATTTTTTTACAGGAGCAAAAAAGTCTGAAACAAATGAACAAAAGCTTACCATATTCACTAAATTTTTAATATATATTTATATATATATTTATATATATATATATTTTGTCATAGGTCTATAAGATCCATCTGTTCCTCCTACCCTAAGGAATGGCTAATGTCATCGCTTCAGTTTTCGTTAGGACGTTTGCTGGTTTTGTAAATATCTGGGCAGCAAAGCTTCCCTTTTCAGATCCAGGAAGTAGAAACACTAGCTGTCTAGCACACCAACAAAAACGCTCAGTTTCCTTTGCTTCCTTTTCTTTGCTTTCTGGTTTCTCCTCGTCTTCAGAAGTACACTTTTTCATTATTGCAAGTTTACAATTTTAAATTAAATATTTCTCTTTTTGTCCTTTTTTTTCCCCCCCCCTCCCCGGACTTACAAATTAATTCTATTTTGTTTTGTTTCCCTTTCTTCTTTTTTTTTTTTTTTTTTTCTTTTTTTTTTTTTTTTTCCTTTTTTTTTTTTTTTTTTTTCCTGTTTTTTTGTGGTTTTTTTTTTTCCAAAAGAAGAAGAAGTTTAGGCACAAATGCATTGTCCCACAGTGTGGAGAAGATTGCCACTCAGTCTCTAGGCTGTGCACGGACAGCTCGTCACATCCTGCGTTAGACATTCTGCATGATATGTTAAGAGAGAGTCGTCCCTCAAGTTGCACTTTGTTTGTTTGTTTGTTTGTTTGTTTCCTTCTGGTCCGTTGGGGCGTTTCGTTTTGTGGTTGGTTGGTTGGTTGGTTGTTGTGGTTGGGTTTTGCTGTTGGGTTGTTTCTTTCCTCAGTCGGAACGATCGGGAATGCTGAAATCTCTTGCGTCTGCGATTCTTAACTACTCAGACTTGTCTTATATTACAAAAAAAAAGGGGTTAAGGAGAAGTGTTTATGTGGGTTTAAGATAATACAGCTGTTAAGGAAGTGGTCTCTTGCTTAAATGAAGAAATGTGGCAACTTGGACCTGTGGAAGAAGTAAATAAAACCTCATCAGTCAAGGAGAGGGGAGGGTGTGACTCTGTGCCCAGCAACCCGTCCAAACACTGCTCTGGAAACCATTCCCAGGGAGACCCAAAAATCAGTTTCTGAGGGCTGGGCTGGCACATCTCCCCACCACCTGCAGCACCCTGGGGGTGATCCACCCTGGGATGGGGGCTGCACTGGGGGAAACCCCCTGGAGCAGAACAGGAGGTTTAACCTGAATCCTTCTTGACCCTGAGGGTGCCAGAGCCCTGGGACAGGCTGCCCAGGGAGGCTGTGGAGGCTCCATCCCTGGAGACATTCCAGACCCCTTAAGGATGTGTTCCTGTGGGATCTGCTCTAGGGGATCCTGCTCTAGCAGGGGGTTGGACTAGATGATCTCCAGAGGTCCCTTCCAACCATCCCCCCAGTGCATGGCTGAGAATCACAGAACCACAGAACAAACTTGCCTTTTTTTTTACATCTGTCCCATGTGATTGGAGGCATCTCCCATCCCAGGGTGGGGTCCTGCCAGGGAAAGTGGAGGAGGATCTGAAGATACTTTCTCTTCTTCCCTTCTTTTCAGACACGCTGCTTTAGGATTCAGATTTCTTTCTGTCAAATTGAAGCAAAAGGCCATTTCAAACATTCACATTTTCATACCAGTGCCTGGACACTGAAAATAATGAAGCCACAGTTATTTGTTTGAGTCCTGCTCCAGGAATGGAGGGGGCTGAAGGATGCAGCTTGGTCAGGGAAAGGCAGAAAACTCCATCCACAAGCTCTGCAACCCCCTCCCTGCTTGTGCTTTGTTGTGGAGTAGCCAAGCTCAATATTGAATTTGGATCCTGCTAAAGAACGTGCCCAGGCTGCCAAGGACCTACACCAGCAGCCCTGGAGCTGCAGGGGAACACCAGTGCTTGGAGGGGTCAGGATGGCTCTGGGTGCTCCTGCCTGTCTCCCTGGCTCTGGGTGCCAGGCTCAGGTCTCTCCTCTCTCCCAGGATGGCTCTGGGTGCTCCTGCCTGTCTCCCTGGCTCTGGGTGCCAGGCTCAGGTCTCTCCTCTCTCCCTGGATGGCTCTGGGTCCTCCTGCCTCTCTCCTTGGCTCTGGGTGCCAGGCTCAGGTCTCACCTCTCTCCCCGGCTGGCTCTGGGTGCTCCTGCCTGTCTCCCTGGCTCTGGGTCCCAGGCTCAGGTCTCTCCTCTCTCCCAGGATGGCTCTGGGTGCTCCTGCCTGTCTCCCTGGCTCTGGGTGCCAGGCTCAGGTCTCACCTCTCTCCCAGGATGGCTCTGGGTGCTCCTGCCTCTCTCCCTGGCTCTGGGTCCCAGGCTCAGGTCTCACCTCTCTCCCAGGATGGCTCTGGGTGCTCCTGCCTGTCTCCCTGGCTCTGGGTGCCAGGCTCAGGTCTCACCTCTCTCCCCAGCACCCAGCACCCTTGGCCAGCCTTTCCCTGGTCCAGCAAGGCGTGTTTGGCACCGCTGAAGCCCAGGAGGGACGTAAGGAGAGCTGGGGGCACACTGACCTCTGACTTGCTGCTCTAAGCTGAGGATGACAGCCACAGCCTGGTGTAAGATCAGGAGCTTGGTCTGGGGCTTGTCACTCTTCAGGTGGAGCTGCACCATCCGGCCCAACTCCTTGAAGGCCTCGTTGATGTCCCGGACGCGCAGGCGCTCCCGCGCGTTGTTGGCCATTCTCCTCTCCTTCTCCCTCTCAGCCTTCTGCTCTGGTGTCAGGTCCTCATCATCGTTATTGCTGGGAGACAAAAAGGAGGACATCATTTTTCTAATGGTGTGAGAAATAAGGAGGGCAAAAGATTTTCAACAGGCTGTGTCCAAGACCGGGGCTGTCAGTCATGGACAGGCTTCTGAGCAATTCTGCTTTGCTGCTCCTCTTCCACCAAACCTGTGCAAGACTCAGTCCCCCTTGAATTGTTTTGCTGGGCAAAGCTTTGGTTTGTAGTGAAGCTTCACCACCTGCCAGGCTGGACTTTGGGTATTTAAAAGAAGAAAAAACAGAGGTGCTAACACCCAAGTCCTACACCCAAGTCCTGGCCTCCCAGCTGACAGCCATGAATGGACCTTTTCAGCAGCCCAACATTCAGGTTTTGGAAGAATCTATCTTCACCACTGAGGGTGAGGATCCACCATCCTCCCAAGCAGTGGGTGTGGGCAGCACCCCAGTCCCCACGTGGGGCACAGGGCACCAAAGCACCTGTGGGCAAAGAGCCAGCAAAGTAAGGAATGGCTGTGGAGGGCCCCAGAGTGAACTCCTGCAACAAAACTGCTTCCTACCCAGCTAAAATGTTGGTTTTCAATGGGAAACACATCCACTGGTGAGTCACTGGCACTCTGCAATTTGAATTGGTTATGCAAATGAAGCAATACATCCTCAGCAGCCCTAACAACAGGGATTCAGACCTAGAACTAAATACCAGGAGTAACCTTTGAAAGCTGCAAGCCTGTCAAAAGCCAAAAAAAAATGTTAGCCCACAAAAGCCTCAAAGCCAACATCAATATGCATAAGCAACAGAGGATTGGTGGGATGAACAAGATCTATCACATCAGCATAAAGGTGCTTTCTTCTTCCTGGTGAGCACACACAAGCCTCATCTCTGCAGATGGTCACTGCAACACGTTTACCCAGAGAACATCTCAAGTGTCAGATATTTGCTCCAGCCCTAAGAGAGGTGAAGGCAACAAAAGGCCTGAGAGCCCCTCCCAGGGCCAGCTCCTCTGCTCAGACACTTCTCACCTCTTTACACAGGCATGGACAAGGCAGGGGGACACTGCCACTCCATGGGGAACAAAAACCCCCTGGAAGAAGCAGAGGGAGGCAGGTGACATTCAAGGGACACAAGTAAAGCCTGTCCCTTGCTCAGGGTCACGCTCACCCTGGGTGTGGGTTCCCAGATGTCACCATCCAGCTACGACTTCACTACCACTTCCCCAAAATGCATTAAAGAATATTGCCAAGAAAAAGTAAAGCCCTCTAAATCCTCCCCTTGAACCTAGAGACCTGCAGCAATGGAGGGAATGACTGATTCATTTCAGAGGTAAAGCAGACTGTTAGTTTAGAGACAGGTGTGATCAGCTCTTGGGCACATTTTAAAGAGGTGACATCCCAACACTGTCTCTCAGTTTTCCAGCCCAGGCAGAGAAGAGGGACAGCCCAATTAGAGAGATTTTTGAGAGTAACATCATTTCTTTCCGGATTGTGGAGAACTTGCTCAGGGTCCAAATTTGTGAATTGTTGGAATTTGAGGGCATCCTGGTGTGCAGGTACCAGAAAGGCACTGGGTGCAGCCAGGAGAGCCCTGCCCTTCCACTCAGGCTGTGGCTTTACCTGCCAGGAAAAAAACCTCATGGTTTCCTCCTGTTCTGTTCACTTCATCAAAATCCAGTGAAGGAATTAAATGAAGCGACACTATTATATACTGTTACCTAGATCTTGACCTAGTAATTGATTTGATATCCTTCTTGTCATCCTCTAGTTTCTTGTCCTCAGAAGACTTGGTGTCCTGGAGGTTTTCATCTCCCTCGTCATCGGATTTGATCTCAGAGCTGCCCGAAGAGACACTCTGCCCTTGCAGGCCAGTTGGCATTCTTCTGTGGGAAAACACACAGGAGGGGGGATGTCAACCAACAGGATGGGCTGGGCCTGTGTCCCGTGTCCCTGGTGGCAGGGTGACCCAGGGGACAAACCCCAGCCACGGGGCAGAGCCAGGCGTGGGGTGCAGCTCCTGAAGAAGGGATTGCAAGCAAGACTTTGTAAGCCACTGGAACAGAGAAGCTGTGGCTGCCCCATCCCTGGCAGTGTTGAAGGGCAGGTTGGATGGGGCTTGGAGCAGCCTGGGCTGGTGGGAGGTGTCCCTGCCCATGCAGGAGGGTTGGAACCAGATGAGCTTTCCAAGCTGGAAGAGGGTGGGTTTAGAGTAGGTCTTAGGAAGGAATTCTTCACTGTGAGGGTGGTGAGAGCCTGGAACAGGTTGCCCAGAGAAGCTGTGGCTGCCCCATCCCTGGCAGTGTTGAAGGGCAGGTTGGATGGGGCTTGGAGCAACCTGGGCTGGTGGGAGGTGTCCCTGCCCATGCAGGGGGTTGGGACTGGATGGTCTTTAAGGCCTCTTCCAACTCAACCAGGTCTGGAATTCTGAGATCCTATAACAGTCTGGGCTCTTTCTCCCTTGCTTTAATGGGAAATCAGCTCCTCCTGGAGCATCTGCAGGTGCCCCAGGCCTGGAGGGCTTGGGAGAGCAGAGCTGAACGAGCCGAGGGGCTCTGCCCTGCCCTGCTGTCTCCTGCCC